AACCCACTTGAATCAAATGTATGAAATATGATATGTCAAGAACTATGTAATGTTTTGAACAACTAATAATAAAAATTTTAAAAAATTAAAGAAATATATCAGGAATGAGCTGGAGATGTAGCTCAGAGGTAGAGTATGTATTTACCATGCTCAAGGTCCTGAGTTCAATCCTCAGCACTGCAAAAAACAATGAAATTATTAGTAATGAAAGAGTGGCCATGAAAGGATGATAAGGGACCTTATGAACTAGTCTATGACCATAAATTCAGCAAGTTAGACAAAGGAACAAATCACCTATAAGACACAAACTGCCAAAATATATTCAAGAATAATGAGATAATAAGATTGGTTCTGTGTATTTTCTTCAAACAGTTCAACTTGTAGTTAAATCCCTTCTAATAAACACAAAAGCCAGGCATGGGAGTACATTTCGGTAATCCAGTGACTGGGGAAGCTGAGGAAGAAAGTACACATGCAAGTTCATAGGCTACAAGAACATTTACATAAAAATAAATTAAAGTTGAAATTAACCTTTGTGAAGTATTATTTTAAATAAAGGCCTAGTGGTGCATACCTGTAATCCCAGCAACTCAGGAGGGAGGATAACAAGTTCAAGGCCAGACTTGACAACACAGAAGCACCTTGTCACAAAATAAAGAATAAAAATGGCTCAGATGTTGCTCGGTATTAGAACACTACTGGGTTCAATTCTCCATGTCCACCCTCCCCCCAAAAAAGATATTGTTTATAATATCACTAAAAACTCCACTAACTTATCTAAATATGTGCAAAATCTGAATATATTGTACAAAACATTGAGGAACTAAATAAATAATAGAATGATATGTAAAAGGGTTATGGATTGGAAGGCTTGATATTTTTAAGTATCTCAACTTTTTGCACATTGATATATGAATTCAACAAAATTCCAATCAATATTCCCAGAGAAGATAAAAATTTTTCATAGTAGTAATTAACATGCATTTTTTTCCTTTTAGAAACATGAAAGAACAAAAATAGATAAAACAATTTTGGAAGGTGAGAACACAATTGAAAGACTCATCCTATTGGGTTACAGAATTCTAGAAAACTGATGCATGGTACTAGAGAAAAGCACACACATGTACTGCAATGGAGCCCAGAAATAGACCTACATGTGTGGTGTTAATTGCTTCTTGCTAGAGGTGTAAAGATAATTCAAGGAAGAAAAGATAGCCTTTCCAAAAAAGAGTGTAAGAACAACTGAATATGCTACAAAAAATTAAAAAATTCCCAGGCATTAAAATCCTTGATCTGCACACTAAACCTTATTCGAGAATCATCTCTAGATGGGTTTATGAGCTAAAATGTAAAATTATACAAATATTACAAGAAATAGAGCAAATCTTTGTTGCATTGTGACCTCAGAGTTTGGGTAAGAGTTCTTAAACACATGCTTGAAGATCCTTATAGCTCTGCTTACTCTGCCACACTCTTCCACCATGATGTCCTGCTTCACCCTCAATCCCCAAGGAATGGAGCCAGCTGACCAAAAACTGAGACCTCTGAAACGAACTTATAATGAGAAATCACACGAGGACAATATGGGGAAATTAAGATAAAATCCTTCCTTCGTCTCAACACCATTGGTATTAAGAATGTGCTCTACAATGTCTTAGGCAACAGAGCATTTTGGTATAGTATTGCGATATGAGTGAGATGCTCCCATCTTTTTGACACCAATTATTAGGAATAAAAAGGAATTGAATACCTCAAGTGTAGATATGATGAAGCCTTCCAAAGCCCAAATTTATTTTAAAAAATTAGACTCCCAATGACAAGTCCATTGAATTATTGTACAAATTTTAATTTTTAAACAAGTAAATATCAGTCTCTATAACCCATTGAAGAAAAAACATAAACCATTACCCACACCATGAAGCAAAGCTGCCAAATTGAAATTATACTCAGTGTGTTCCTTCACCATGAAAACCTCAAACTAGAAAACAGTAAGATAAAAGAAAACTTCCAATATGTCAAGAGCCTTGTAAGGTTTTGAACAACCAATAAAAAAAAAAAAAGAAAACTTCCAAAACCTTGAGAAAAAAATCGAAATTCTAAATAATCTATTAGTCAAGAAATTTCCCAAGAAAATAAAATAGATACTGTACCTAGTGAAAAATATTTAAAAATTTGCAGAACACATCTAAAGCAGTACTTGGAAATTAATAGCATTAAAACCACATTAGAAATGAGGAGTAGACACAATTTAATGATCATTTTTACCACCTGAGAAATCTTGGGTGTTGCGGGCAGGGTGTTTGAGGAGCAAATAAACCAAATCAAGCAGAAGAAAGAATTAATGTAGATCAGAGCAGAGATTAATTAAATTAATTAGAGACAATGGAAGAAATCAAGGAGACAAAGAGCTGCTTGCTTGAAGTGATTAAAAAAATTCACAAATTTTGAATAACATCAATGAAGAAAAGAAGAGCAAATTTTCAACATCAAGTATTAAATGGAATATTAATTATGACAGACCCTGAAGACATCAACAGCCTATTAAGGAAATAGTGTCCCCCTCCTTCCCCCACAGAGGGTTCGTGTATTGGCAGCTTTGTCCTCAGTATGTGATGTTGGCTGGTAGAATTGTTAAGAGGTGGAACAAGTGAAGGGTTATTGGGTCATGGGCATCAGGACTTGGCAAGACCATACCCGCTAAAGATATGCCCTTCATTCATGAGCCCAGGATGTCAGATGATTGAATGGGTGGATGTATGACAAATTCCACACCTATGGATAAAAGCTCTTAGAAAAATAGGAATGGAGAAAATTATGGTTTAATTATATCTCTCAGAGCCGTTGTATAGGTTCTAATCCTGCACCTAGGAATAGGTCCTTTTTTTCAGAAATAGCAATATTATGATGTAATCACCTAAGATGGGGTCATAAGGGAGTAGGACAAGTTGTTGTTTCAGTGAGACATGTGACTTTATAAGGAGAGCAGGGCAGGCTACTGATCCACTGTGCCTTATATCCTGATTATCTTCTTTCCTATCTAATAGATTTTCTATGTAAAATATTTGAATTTCCATCCCTTTGATTTTTATGGATGTCCTAGGGGTACCTCTGTGCAGTGTCCCTGGGCATCCCTTTACCATGAGATAGAGAACCACCTCTAATGTGAACCTAGAGCCACATAACTCCAGGGTGATGACAAAACCAGACCTGTTTATGAAATGAAATTATAAAAATGTTATGGTAATAAACCAATGTCCCACCCACCCAACCCCAGCCTTTCTCCAGGAATCCTGATGGACCATGGGTCCCTACCTTCTGCATTATAGATAACTTCTCCTGGTAGTTGGCCTCCTCCATTTTGAAGTGTAAATGAACCTATGAAGGCTCTGGGCTCAAAACTAGAGATTTATCAAAGGCCTTGTAAGAGGAGCCAGTTCTTCCCCATATCACACTCTGCTTCTGTAAACATGCTACCTCTAGAAATCACTTGCACAATTCTATGTCAGGTAGACTAGAAAATTTATGACACTAGAGACTTATAAATATTGTAAAAAAAAACTTGGCATAGGAGCTCAGAATTTGTAGTTTTGTTTTCCTCTGGGCCCGCTGGTGTAAAATAAAATTTGGAGTTCTTCCCATTGACTGCTGCTTGATGCTTCTGGACCAGTCAGTTTCCCTCAGCATCAGTACCACAAAATGCTGATCTTGTGCATCTCTACCCATCCCCATCAATTACTAGTGTCACCTTGGAATGCATATGCATTGTGTGTAGGACTGTATGGAGAAATTATGAGAAACTTTTCCCCATCTAACCCCCATAGGTGTTAATACTGTGCTCTGTGGTGTCTGAGGGAACAGAGACTTTTCTCACAGTATCACATGTGACTGAAGCACTACCAACCTTTAAACAGCAGTTATTAGAAATTGGAAGAAAAAAAGGAATTGAATACCTTGAGTGTAGATATCTTACAAAGCCAGAGTTATTAGAGATTTTTCAAATGAAAATCAATAGTACATTGAATTTCTGTAGAAATACTAATTTCTAAACAAGTATATATCATTCTCCATTACCCACTAAAGGAAAAAAAAAAAAAAGGTCTGGATCTCCTTATTCCTATTCCAAAAATAAAAGCAG